AAATGTTACTGCCCTGCTGGCGCTGGTGGCTGTTGTAAACATGTGGCAGCTACTTTGTATCAGCTTCTCGATTATATTGAACTTGGACTCTCAGATATACCAGATGATAAAACCTGCACCCAGGAATTACAAAAGTGGCATGTCCCTAGAGAGAACACAACACAAGCAGCCCTGCTTTTCGAGGACCTCATTTTCCCCCAGGATTCGTATGATAAGGACAAAAAAGGACGTAAACGCCCAATACCAGAAGGGAAGAGGGAGGACTACTGCTCAACAAGAGAGAAGGTGTCAAAGGATGACTTGGAACCGCTTAAAACTAGCTTGGAAAAAGCAGGAAGCACTTGTCATTTGGTTGGTATCCTAGGCAACACCAATTGTGAACCTTGTGAGTTTACTGCAAATGAATTACCATCTAGACAGCGCATAATGAAGGCAGGGGAAGTGGGTGACAAACTGGACCAAACAGCTGTCAGATCTAGTATTCTAAAAAAATTAACTCAGAATTTAGATTGTACTTGTGTTCCAGACAAGGAAAATTGTGAATATATTATGGAGAAATTGTTTGTTAATAATTAGGGATGCAGAGAGATTGAGAAGAACACGCGCAAGCAAAATGAGTGTGAAGAGTGGTATAAACAGAGAAAATGTCGGTTGACTTCATCATTATTTGGTTGTGTAGTGAAGAGGAGAAAAACAATCTACCCAAAAACTATTGTGAACAAGATTACTAAGCCAAGTCAAATAAAGAATGCAAGTTGTCAATGGGGAATCGAGAACGAACAGAAGGCGTTGATAAAGTACCATGAATATAAAGATGAAATCAACGAGCATGTAGCTCTTTGCTCAGCCTGTGGTTTAGTGGTCAATCCAATGTGGCCATGGCTTGGTGCTAGTCCAGATGCTCTCATATTGGACAAGAGAGAAGAATCAATGTATGGAGCTGTGGAGGTAAAATGCCCTGCATCTAAATCTGGGATGAGTATCATCAATGCATGCAGTGACAAGTCATTTTGTTTAGAGATAGTAAATGGAAAGCCATGTCTAAAAAAGAATCATGTATATTTTTATCAAGTGCAAGGAGTTATGGCTATCTGCCAGTTGTGTTTTGTAGACTTTGTTGTATATACTGTAAGTGATATCCATGTTGAAAGGATTTATTTTAGTAAAGTTGAATGGGAAAAGTGTACTTTACCTGAATTAACAACTTTCTATTTTAATTATCTAATGCCAGATACTGTTACTGTATTATAACATAATTATATGTTCACATAACATAATTTAAATAGTGGACACACTACTAACTGTACTTAATAAAGTCAGAAAAATACTGGACTGAACTGTGTAGAGTCATATACAGTAACATACAGGGCTGCCGAGAGGGGGGGGGGATTGCCCCGGGTTCGGGGGGCCCTAGAAATGTTTTGTTGGGTCCCAGTCATTTTTTTGGGTGAAATATTTCCGTGCAAAGGGCAAGATATTGGGGTTTTTTGGGCAAAGTACAGAAATTTGGTATGAAAAATTGAGGTAAAGTGCCTGGAAAGCAATTACAACGTACTCATTCGGAAAATTTTTTGCCCTAAAAGAGTTGTATACAGGGGGGGAGGGGGTTGTTGTCCGAAAAATTTTTTCCAAAAAAATATTTGAAATAGGAGCCCCTAAAAAAAATTTGCCCCGGGCCCCCACCAAGCTCTCGGCAACTCTGGTAACAAAGAATTCATTCTTCATGTAGTTGAATTAATGGCCTGAAAAACAAAGTTAAATATGAACAAATAACCCAAATTTTGTTTAAGTCTGCAGCCATAGATATCTGCAAGTTATGTTTGAGAATGCGAAAGCTTTTAATTCTTTGGATAGCCCTCTCAACATGTATCCTGTGTTTAGCAATTCTCCTAGTTTTAATCTCATCCTCTTTTGAAAATTGTGCTTGCTCACCAAGGAAGGGGGGTATGTTCAGCGACACGCCTGGTGGTAAATCATTCTCAATTTCAAAGCCTCTATCTGCCATCACTTCATCACCTGGTTCTAATAATTTCAAAATTCCACAGTCATTTGTCAGTTGTTTATCAGATGTATTACCAGCATAAAGTTCTGGAACAAAAGTTAAGTATCCTCTTGGGGCAATGCCAATCAAGCCTTTACCAGTGTTATGGTTTTTGTAGGTTGAAAAGGTAGCACTTTGGCTTCTTGGTTGAGAAGGTGTTTCAATGAATAACTCTGTGCAGTCAATTATGACCCTTGTGTTTGGATAACTCTCCTTAAAACTTGGTGGTGAGGTTTCTCTCACATAACTTTGAGAAGGCCAAATGGGTATGGACCGTAAACGTCTGTATAAGAAATCAAGCCAGGTAACCCAAATTCTCGACACATGGGATTCGGATATGTTAAACCTGTTGGCTAAGTCCCTCTCAAGCAAACCCAATCTAAACCTTACAAGGCACAAGATAACTCTTCCTCTGGTGATAATGTCCTCCTGGGTCCACATTTTTCTCGATTTTCTGTTGGCTTTGTAGTATTCCAAGATCCAATATATTGTAACCCTTCACATGCAGGGCAAAGATGGTCATAAAATGCCTTAAATGTACTGTAATTAGAAAAGCCAGTATAAAACTCGATATCGCTATCATTATTGTTAATGTGGTATATAGAAAAACTGCACTGTTCGACTTTTCCCTTCAAATCGGATATCTTTTCTTGTTGTTCTTGATCTTTCTGCTGAAGGTTTTCAACCAGCTCTTCAAGTTCTAAAATTCTGTCCTCACTAGTGGGCTCATCTTCTATCTCAGGACTCTCTTCAATTGTGTTGTCTCTATTTCTGCATTTAGATGTTGTTCTGGGTTTCGGTTGGGTGGGCAGTAATAATTTTTGCACTATAGTTGGAACATTGTGAAGGCATATCTTCTTGCCACCCACAAAATGCTTTGAACAAACTCTGTGATGGTTGTTTGGTGTAAAATTAGCTCGTCCGATCCAATGCAACCACATCTTTCTGAGCTTTTTGTCAGTTGGAATTTGGTAATATGAGAGTTCTGGATTTCTTTTAGTGTTGCTACTACATGTTGGAATACAGCAAGTTGTTCCATCTCCTTTATATTTTCTTTTAAAACATGCATTTTCTGTGTTGCTTTTATCTGCCTCCGATGAAGTACCCGGCTCAATATCCATCAAAAACTTTATATTATTTAAACCTATACCTTAATTATTTATTTCACTATTTACAAATTTAATCCTTAGGGCCTGCCTGAAGATTAAAATACCTAAATTTACTATAAATAACTACATTTTAAAAATTGACTATATTATATTCTACTACCTTAAATGCAAATTTAAAACGATTTTTCCTACGTTAATATAACTACGAATTTAATATATTTTAAGCCTAATATTTTAATACTAAAAACCTACTTGTTTATTTTGACAGGAAATAAACCGACCACAACAAAGGAAGCAGAAAAATAAGCGACAACAGAGGCAAAATGATTTCTCTTTGGCGTTTTTACAAAGTAACGAAGCCGGGGCAGAAAAACCGCTTTGAACTGCTTTTAGTTCGCGCCAAAACATTTTAAGGTCTCTTTAAAACATTGTGTTTGAGCGCCATGCCGATCGAACGATCGACAGACATTTTGTCATGAATTAGTCGATTTCAACAAGCGAAAAAATCGGCAGGAAACACTCGATCGTTGTCAAAATACGAGATATACATCAAGAAACAACACACACAAATTTGTAGGTTAAAATGGTGAGCTGTCCGATGTTTACTAAGCGCGCTCACCTTAAAACGTTGGGAAGGCCCTTCCTCTTGGAACGTATTTATGAGCACACTGTTCGCTCCTCAGTTCTTCTACAGGAATTTTCTAGTCCATTTTCGGTTCGATTTCGCTGTACTTGAGTCAAAACAAACTTTATAGCATTACAAAGTTCTCCCTTGTTTTAAAATTTTCAAACGTTACGAAAAAAGTGTTAAAAATAAACTATATTTCTCACATGCAAAATGCTCGCTCCACGGCGGCCATTTCGCGCGCAAGTGAAGGTTACCATTTTTCCCATGATGCTTTGGTAACATGCAAGTTGCCTATTGCAGCTTTTAATTATGCGCGCAGGGGGTGACAGTAAGGTATCATATTGCGCATTTTGCTGAAAAGTTTCAATAAAAACTGCCGAAACAACCGAAATATTTCAATATTTACAATATTTAAATCACTCCGTGTTTACACGGCCACCATTTTTACTTTTTCAGCATAATTTTTTAAATCTGCAATATGATACCTTACTTCCCATCTTCCCCTGCACGCATAAACTTCACCAAACTGCTTAGTTTGGTGAAGACAAAATAGTTTAGGCTTAAGCCGTGTTTACACTACGAGCCTAAGCCTGGCCTGGACCTACCTTTGGACTAGATTTGTGTAGTGTAAACGCACTTCGACCTGGGCAAGGCCAGGAAATCTGGATCCATCAGAACAGGTGGCCCAGATTTCCTGACCTAGGCGAGGTCGAAGTGCGTTTACACTACACAAATCTAGTCCAAAGGTAGGCCCAGTCCAGGCTTAGGCTCGTAGTGTAAACACGACTTTAGTAAGTAATCAGGAAAGCGTAATACTTGATGTAAAACGAATTTGATCATATACACATGTAAATTTTCGCGTGATGGGGACAGCCGTTCGTGTTCCAGGTACAAACGTAAAACTTTTTTGACTGCCGTTCTTAATTTCAAGATCCCCTGGAGCCATCGCCCGCCATCTACAGGTTATATAAAAGAGTAGTTCAACTTTAGCGTACTCTTGTGCCATCAATATTAATAAGTGTATCTAATTTTTCCATATTACTAATAATTAGCCTTTTAGGTTTTGAATGGCAGCTTTCGTAACATTCCACAACTGACCAAGTTGACCAAAGGTGGAAAATGTAATTTTAACCGCCAATTTTAAATCGGTTCGTATTTGGTCATTTGTACTTGAAATGATACAAAAAAGGTATCACTCAAAAGCAAAAACCCTATTTCTTATCTATATAGAAAACTTGAATCCGTGCATGTAATATTCAGGGCATAAGATCACCCTAAAGTCGAATTCCTTATTTTGGATTACCTTTTCTTCAGCTGTTTGTATATCTAATATTAGGTTTCTTGAGGCGAGCTATACATAAAAAGTAAAATCAACACGTTAACACGAGCAACACGTTAACACGAGTAGTTAACACGTTTAAAAAAAGTTCGTAATATTGTCACATTACCCATTTGTCGAATGTATCAGATGACTCATTTGTTGAGGCAGTGTCTCGAAATGATTCATGTTCTTCAGTTGTATTTGTAACATGTTGGACTGAAGTCTCATGTACATTAGTCGAATCTAATGTTGGGCTTATTGAGTTTATCTATACAAACAAAATTAGATAAGTATTGTAAAACAACTTGAATGGGTTCATCAGTCGCAGTACTTGCGAATTACGATATATTACGTTAAATAAATGCTACGTTACTTGAAACAGGCAGTTTTCGACCTTTTCCATTGGGTGCCCCTATATAGCCACTATACATTCGTTAGTATATGCACTCGTTTTGACACTCACCGTCGTGTTTCACGTATCAACATATTTTTCTTTGATGTTGACCCTAATTAGTCAACCCCACTCCTATCCGATATTATGCATGTGCGAAACTGACGATATGATCCGTACGTGTTTTCATTTGTATTATGCAACTAATGTCGTCATAAAAAGTTACGGATTATTGAGATTGGTAACGTTACGCAACAAAGATAAATCATGTTTTACGGAAAATAGATTTACCTGGGAAATGGCCTCGATATCTCGTGTATTTCTCTCTTTTTTCGTTTTATTTTCTTCGCTTCCTGTTAACGCTTCGTTAGAACATTTGGACAATTTCGAGGAACTATTCCGTTTGACAGGTGGCTTATGATTTTCTGGCGAAGACATGTTGGCCAACTTATAATTAATCAAGAGAGAGCCTCAGCACAGACGCAGGACATATGTTGTTTGCTCTGCTAGAACAAGAAAAAATAATGTAGCCTATACAGCAAACGCACGGTAAAGTCTTACCAACATCCTAGTGTAAATATTTTCAGGCAAAATATTTTTAGCGAGTTGTTAATTACAGAAATAAGTTAATTTCATATCATCAATCCATGAGGGAGTGGACTAATTATATATTGCCTATTTTGGTAACATCGTGATGCCGATGATGTATATTAGTTTCAAATTAATATTAATACTAATCATGTTCATTTGGAATCGATGTTGGTTTGATGTACTTTGTATACTAGTTGATGACATTCCTCCATGTTATATTTAAAACAAACTTAATGTTCAAAGTCATACTTGTATTAAACTTCACTATATATGTACTGTTTCATCATATCAAATGATTCAATACAGTACAGTTTCAACGGCTAGAGAACAATGGGAAAATATCTACCCGTGTTAATCGTTTGAAGACCATAGGCGTACGAGGCGGGGGGGGGGACTTGAAATGTCGATAAGTTGGGCAAATTTTGAACGTAAATCGGGCAAATGTTGAACTTAAGTTGGAAACCTTTTTGGAAAATAAACCGAAAAACAAGGTATATGTAAGATAATAGTAAAAAATGCAAGAAAATAGGGAAATGTGGCGATATATTTTTAATATACGCATTTAGTTTTCTTTGCCGGGGAACAACACAAACTGTTGTTAATTTCTCATTCGATTCTCATGCAAATTTGCATTGAGCCAAAAGTCAATTAATTTCTTATTGGCCATGCAATGGCAATTAGCCCCACAATTTCTGGGCCCATCCATATATAAAATTATAACCAAAAAATTAAACTTTTATACACGTTTGAGGCGAAACCGGGTTTCAATTGATAAGTTTTTGGACGTTCTCTGGTTTAAAATATTATTAATAGAATTTAACGAGCTTTCGGTTGCCAGTCTGCAGCCCACAACTGGTAAGTTACAATAGGGCCATTTATACGAGACAAAATAAGACGCGACTTACATAAGACGCGACTTAAATAAGACGCGAGTTTGTCGTATAAAAGGTACAAAATTCTTATGTAAGACGCGTCTTACATAAGAACAGGACTTTTAGCTGTTCTTATTTAAGTCGCGTCTTAAATAAGAAATTTTAGACAAAAATTCTAACTACACATGCCCGAAACTTGAAACAACGTAAAATTATTAGCCTTGCTTATTCGAACAAAAACAACCGAAACAACATTACAGCTATATATAGCAAGTAAATAAGAATAAATTCGTAAAGAACAATTTATCCAGGGTGCATTCCGTGTAAACTTCACACCGAAGATAATCTGAGGTAGTGTTGCCGTGCGCCAAGTGAGGTCAACTTGTGCGCCGGCTGATCGTGGGCACCGTGATTTTTCATTAATAGTTAGTTTTTCAAAATTAAAACTTGCTAAAAAGGCGTGTAATTGATGAATAAGATGTTTTGCTGATGAGCAATTATGAGTGTTGTTACTGTTGTATCACAAGTTAATTATAACCACCATTTAATAGCCATTACACTGACCAGGAACACAAATTTCTCGAGTCCCTAAAGAATTATAGAGGCCAATCCAATCACCAGGCGATTATTAATACTCAAAGTCTCGCTTAAACATTTGATGCTGCGCCAACCACCAAAACTCAAAAATTGTGCGCCAACCTCGACGTGATTGTGCGCCAACAATTCAAAACTCACGCCGAAGATCTTCCACAAAACATGCATGGAATGCACTCTGGCCATTTATGCGATAACTCAGCTTATATAAGACGCGTCTTATGTAAGACGCGACTTATTTTGTCCCGTATAAATGGCCCTAATGTGATATTACAATGGTTTACAATTACATATACAGCAAAAGGTATCTTTGCCACTTTATATTAAATTACTTTGAAATCAAGATACATGCACGTACGCCGTATTGAAACGTCGATGTTTTTGTGAACACAGACGTCATATTGGCGAGGACTGCATTGGATACTGTATTTGTGTCAGTTTGTGGTAATCTTCAACACATATGACAAAACATAATATTTTTAAAGGTTTTTGCTTTCTACACGAGCGCTAGTATGATACAAAATGCCGCCAAGATTGAATTACAGCAATTTTCGTGCGATGTCCGTGTTGACAAAAACGTCGTTTGCTTGATTAATCAAGCTCCCTAATGTTGCCAACTGTGTAGTTGTGTATTAAACCTTGTTTAGAAATTTCAATGAAACTTTTTAGATATTGTTGTACATAAGTCAGATTCCTTTTGTTTCTCAACTAGTAAGTCTACCTTAAAACGTTGACAGCCATATTGCATGCATCTGTGCAATTAATCTGTACTTGAATACCAAATATACAAATATATTTGTATATTTATATATTTATAAATAGGTAGTTGTATACAAATATATAAAGTTATATAATGTGGACGTTTCCTGCACTATATCTATGTAAATGGCACTTTAAAGCGTCATTAGCTAAGTGTCCCTCCTGTCAATCGTCCGTACTTCAGCATTGTTAACTCCGTTGGTGGTGATACCAACAAAAATTAGGCCGTCCACGTGAAATATTTTATTATGAAGTGTGCAAATATTGCATACAATGATAATTTGCTAGCGAATTCAAGTGCTTGACACAGGGAAGAGAACGATATTATTATTGAGAAGTAAAATACAATATTAACATACATATGGTTTCAATTATCTTGCAAAATATTCGGCATAGTTCAATGTTTATGAGGCACATTGCATTTCCCGGAACACAGTTTCCCAGAACACTACGCCTTTGAGGCTTGCAATATAATATATGTATAGAATTTCTCTCAAAGTTCAATGCGAACTATATACACATGGGATTTGGGTAATTACTTGTATTTAAATAATTTTTTCTGCAGCAATTTAAATTAAAGAGCAACCAGAAATCAGCGTTAAATGTAAAACACATTAGAGGTGAGAGGAGGTCAGCTGTCGCAAATTCTGTGTAGACATGCATTACGCTGTAAATGTTCACTTTGCACTGCGAAATCCCCACGTTTAGCTTCCTCTATGCACTTCCTCTATTCCTAGATAATGCTCTAGCTTTTATTGTATTTTGGTTGGATCAAAACGACAACAAAACTTAGTCTAATCTTGGAGACGAAATGTTTGAGAGCCTATCCAAATGAAGACATCTTTTGCGCGCATCCAAAGGCAATATTACTGAGCAATTTTGTTCCATTTGCAAACAAATATGATATATTTTTTTCTAATTTTGTTGCTCAGCCTGTTATTTTAAATATTAAATGCAACTTACCGACAATGTAGAAGCTTCACATGAACAGCAGAGACTAATAAATAGTATAGAGGACGGAATTAAGTTATAGCGTATTTTAATGCAATCTGACACCATGGTAAGTGGCAACCAGTGCTTCCACAACCTTGTAGTAATAATTCCTCCCACTATTTTTGAAATTCTTGAAAAAAATTCCTTCCAACACATGATTGGTCATAAATTTGGAATATTAAATACAGCACTTGACGTTTATAAGTTGCTAAATGAACTTTATATTTTTACAAAAAAATACAACAATTTTAAAATATCCTTTATAAACATCGTTTCCCCGCAGCTTTCTTATTGTGACGTGGACTTTTTCCTGTTTTCAGGGGAAAAAATCCTCCACAAGTAAAAGATCTGCTGATAACTTGTATATAATGCTTCTCTAACTTTATGTAAGTCTATTTAATTTTTAAATTATGTACTTAATATACGTCGTTAGCTTTGCGATCGTATGAAAGTTGAACTAGATTTCACAGTGGACAGTGGAGTCGGGTTATAATGTTGCACAGTAATAAAATGCAAGCATAAAACTATAATGTGAAATATCATCGGATAGTTCTTATTTTGAAGGCGAGAGTGGTTGTCAAACGTAATTTTTTATTTATGTCCTCAAAATCGAAAGTATTTCTTAGAACATTTCGATGGATGAGATTCTATATCTCAAGTACTGCTCTATTTCGTAACAGTGTTTTTTTCTAATTGGCTGATCATCTAAATAACATGTGTAAAGTTCACTAGGCAATTTTCATTCTCATATTTCGAAATGATACGCTAATAATTACCATGGTCCTATAATACATTACAATACGACATTGTAAAAGAAGCCAAAACAAGCTGTTTAGTTTGTGTTACAAGCTGGCAACAACAACGTATGTGTAGAAAGCACATGAATCAATATTACAAGCTCGGTTGTCATTCGCGTATCACGATTTATTGCCGTTAAACAAGTTGAGCGTGAGGTTTGGGCTGTATATGGATGAAAAATAGTATGGTGGCGTAAAAGCGAAGTTTTATTACAATTAAGACATAGATCTTTTAAATAAACCATTATAACTAACGAATTTAAAACTTTGGGTCTCATTAATCTATCTCTACACTTTGGAAGTACCTTCATATACGTATTTTAAAGGCCATGACCATGTAAAGTCCGTAATGTAAACAAACTCTTTGTTTGCATTATGAACTCAGTTCTATAAGTGCAGTAATTGTAAAATATACAATTACTGCACAAAATATACAATTACCGACCATTGGAATGTAGGCCTGCGGAGAACGTCGCGCGGAACGGACTTTACATGGTCTTTTAAGCCTGCCGCACACGCGAGAGCAACGTACTTGCTGAGCTAACCGCCTCGCGTGGCAGCTAGCTCAGCTATGTATTTTCACCGCACACGTTGGAAAAACTACTCAACAACAACATAATTGACAAAATCATTTGCATTTTCCTCCATTTTGTTCCAAGTCACATGAAGCCGGAAACTATTTTTCATTGGGTAATTGATTCAAGCAGCTCAGCACTAAGCTCACAACATCCGCAGACGCTGAGATTTATTCCTCGCGAGGTGAAAACTATAAAACACGATAGATATTTTCCTCAAGGCCTCGAGTAGTCAAATCCTCACGAAAACTATCCGCATACGAGAGAACTTGCTGAGCTAGCTGCCACGCGAGGCGGTTAGCTCAGCAAGTTGCTCTCATTTGCGGCAGGCTTTAGATGTACACTAATAAAACATGTTTCTCATCAACATATCATTTGGAGTTATGGGAATTAGCATAACCAGAATTTTGGACATGCTTTTTAAATAGGCGGCAAATCATAATCCCCGAGCCAACGGCGCGGAGCGCCGCTCCGGGCGTTAACCCGGGGCGAGGGTTCTAATTCCGCCCTGCTATTTACACCCGGGGAAAGGAACGCACTAGCGAAGTCTAAAGTTCAATACATATCGTGGGCGCATGGCTATGATCCAAGGGTGGACCTCCTCACTGATCTCAAAAATATGGCTGTTTGTCAGGAGTGGGATAACCATACTGAGGATATTAAAGCATGATTTCAATTTTCAAAAGCATATTTGCAAAAGCGCGTTTTATATAATGAGCTTTGAAGCAATTTTTGTTTGAGAAAATGAGAAGAATTGATTTACCATGGAATATCGTGAAATATAGGGCAAGTTTGCTTTGAATGTTTAATGTTGATGAATTTTGTTGCTTTAATAATTTATTGCGTAAAACATGCACTGCTCTTTTCCTTTTCAATGAAGCTGTAAGTTTCCTAAATTACCCTGTTTAATTTAAGAAAAAAAGGTAAATGTAAAGGAGCGCAAACTAATTTGAAAACCTAACTGAAATTACTCAACAATTTGAAATGAAAACAGTTTATCGGCAGAAGCAGTTTATTTAAAATGAACATTTCAAAACATTTTACGAAGCGATTCAGGTTAAATTTTACATTAAATCAAAGCTCACAAAATCCAGAACAACATATACCTACAGTACATACTTCGGAAATTCATTGTTATATAGTTAAAAGAACAATTTTTCGACTATTTTTGCCGTGTTGTAAAATTATCGTGTTGTCATGGCAACACTGACGTAAACGCGAGCCTGCGTTCAGTGTTGACCAATTACTAATACTTCATGTTAAATCAATGTTGGAAAATATGGGCGAGGGGTTGCTGCATGCATGTATTTCTAGTAAAATTGTAATATCGAATACTGCATTTTATAGGAATCCCATTCATCGAAATGTCGTTATAAAGTTTTTCAATTTTTTAAATGAAACAAATATTGAAGGCAACAATTTTCCCCTCCAGAGTGAAGGCATTGCGGTGATATTTCGTGTGGTTAATTAAAGGCTTGTAACAAAGAAATGCCATCGACATTCACTTTTCTCGAGGTTGGCTGGTCGTCTATTTATAGTGCTGCGGAAGCTTTTGGCCAGGATTATATTACGCTACCCAACTATAATGAAGAAAATTAAATGTTATTGGCAAACAAGGCCGAAGTGGGTATTTTTTTTTTTTTTTTTTTAATTTATTTAGCTTTGCCAACTAGGGCAGGGTCACCACAACAGCATATGCCAATTACTGTGGGCCCTTTTTACCTAACCCACCCTTGTCAACTTTCCCAGTGGGAGGAAACCGGAGTACCCGGGGAAAACCCACGGCTTTCGGCAGAGCGTTGACTTTTTTACTCTTTTCACATGGGGACTGGGTTCGAGTCGCATTGAGAAGGTACTTAGTGAGACTCGAACCTGCAGCCTCAGAGGTGAAAGGCAAGTGGGCTAACCACTTGGCCACCGAAGCCCCTAATACCAGCACCAAGATAGCTATAAGCCTTATTTCATCTTTTTACAGTATCCAATTACTTCTTGCATTGTTGGCCTTTTCCCTGCGTCTATATGTGTACAATTTTGCACCATTTTTTTTACTCCACCATTCGGAATTCCTTTTATTTGAATCTTTCTCTGTGCAGGAACAGGTAGCTCACAAATAGACATCTCACATACCAGTACACCATAGCTAAATACATCGATCTGTGTAAATGTAAACAAGATAAAACATCAAGTAAAAGATATATATATATATATATATATATATATATATATAAATAAATATATATATATATATATATACAGTATAGATAAAGATAAAATAAACCTGGTTTACTTCATAAGATTTATTCACAAAAAATAAATAAATAAATAATAATAATAATAATAATAATAATATAAATAAATAAATAATAATAATAATAATATTGATTCTAAATACATATTTGGTATATATATATATATATATATATATATATATATATATATATATATATATATATATATATATATATATATATATATATATATATATATATATATATATATATATATATATATATATATATATATATATATATATATATATATATATATATATATACATGTAATTTTTAGAACCACTGCATGAGTATTTTAACAAAAAGTGTACCTGCAACTCCAAAGATCGATAACATTTTCATATTTATCTACGTTTCAACTATGTTTCATTAATCATCAGGATAAACTAGCTAGGTTATACATCAAAAGCAGTATTTATATGAAGATTTATACAAAACAAGTGAAACTCCAAAAATCGATAACATTTTTATTTATCTACGTTTCGACTATATTTCAGTCATCATTTCCAAAAATCAATAACATTTTTATTTATCTACGTTTCGACTATATTTCAATCATCATCCATGATGACTGAAATATAATCGAAACGTAGATAAATAAAAATGTTAGCGATTTTTGGAGTTTCACTTGTTTTGTATTTTGTTAAAATACTCAATGATTCTAAAAATGAAATTTATTATATAGTATTTGTAAATTCTGAACGCTGATTGCCTAAGAGCCGTGTTGATATAACTCAATACAGACGTTACGATTTTAGGACGGCAACGGCTACCAATACAATAGATCATTGAAAAGAATTGAGTAATTACAATATATGAATATTTTAGACATTGTTCTCGCTCTGTTTACAACGCCAAATCACAGATTTTCACGTCTTGGTACAACGGCTGCATTCCAAGCCGCAACAAGTGCAACTCCAAACAGGGTTTAGCAGAACTCTTCCCAACCATAAAACCCTTGTCTTCAACTTCTAAAACAGTATTAAATTCATACGATTGATAATATACCACAAACTATCTTGACTACTATTTATTTGAAGGAGTTTGTTTTGGCCGTCGCCGTCGCGTTGCCGTCCTGAAATCGTAAGGTCACTAATGTCAACACGGAAACGTCGGGAAATTTCTTTCTTCATGTTTCTTTGTGCTATATTATAAAACAAATAGAAAACATCTTTTCCGTATTGATATACAGTTACATCAACACTCGTGGAAATTGGCAAAACTCGAAATTGTGGGAAATTGTGTGTTTCCACACAATTTCTCGTTTTCCAAATTTCCACTCGTGTTGATAGCCTATATAACTGCCTATCAACACGGAAAATGTTGTTAAATATGATACATTAGGTTGATTATTGATGAGTTAAAATAAATCCAAAATTTAATGTCTTGGAATGGTTTCCCTCGAAAATAAACGTCAAACTTATTAATTAACCATTTAAACCATCATCACCGGGCACTGGTATCTAATGAAAAAGACAGCGAGGCCACAATGACTGAAACAAACAAAGCTGCTAAAATTTGGTTACAGCTACCATATATTGGCAAATTTTGTTAAAGACTAACTCGTTGATACACAAAATAACCCCTCTTCTCACATTAAAATGCCGATTCATTATTAACTGGAAAACGATTAAAAACAGCAACGTATTAGTATCATGCAAGGATAAAACCCCGAAAACATATATCAAAGCTCTGTTGTCTACGAATTTACTTGCCTTGGATGTAATAGTAGGTACATCAGCAAAACTGACCGTTGCTTAAACACCAGAACCAAGGGACATTCATACCACACAGAATCAGTAATCCATCAAGACCTCTCTACTTTCGAACAGTTTCAACATATTAGGCTAAATCCTTTTTAGAACTATATTCCGACGATGACGCAATGTCTAATAAAAACCAGTATAATGGCTGAACATGTTTTCCACAGTACTAAAGTAATTGATAAATCTAACTATTGGTCCCTTTTGCTTTATCAAGGATCCCTCGCTATTCAAAGATATAAACCTGAACTTAAAAATGGAATTAAGGCTGCTAAATATCATATTTAATTAATTCATTAATAATCAACCTAATGTATCATTTAAATATCTTCATATAAATACTGCTTTTGATGTATAACCTACTTTATCCTGATGATGACTAAAACATAGTCGAAACGTTGATAAATATAAATGTTATCGATCTTTGGAGGAATACTTGTTTCGTAAATGTATATAATGTCATTAAACTTTTCGCAATTCAACAAACTTCCCAATCACTTTCGGTCACTATTGTGGTTTATGCATGCGAATAAATGCAATCCACAAAGGATTTACCTTCGCGACCCATGCAACGCTTCAAAAAATTTGTCTACTGTCCCTATCAGCGATGATCTAAAGTAGCAATAAGTTTGACGTTATAGGCCAACAATGTGGAGACAATTGTGTATAAGAGATCCGCGAACCACGTTGCGACTTTACATCACCTCTGAACTCGATAGAGTGTATAAAGTAACTCTGGATTGTGTAAGGTGACTGTCTATAAATTATACTGCACAGATCACCAAAATTGTGGCCAACCATTTACCGACAATATACATCCTGAAATTAGTATAGGTATAATCACATGGGAAGGAGTGCTATTAATGATTTACCATTAAGAGTGAATTTTTGAAAATGTACCAAAATTGCACAAGCCTTGAAATAAACAAGATCTGGTTTACTAAAACGTCTAAAATAACTATAAACGTCTAGATCTTCCTTAACAATAGTTGGTTTAGGATTAATGTGAAGTTCAAATAGTTTATTAGAAATGTCCAAGCGAAGCAGGGATATAAGCCGCATCGCAAATTCTTCTTTTCTTGATTCGTCACCTAACAATTGTTCAAGTTAAAAATATTGAAAGTTCAGCAAGAGAGTTTTATAAGGCAGTGCTTTTTTGTGTATTCTCGTGCATTTACTGATTTTGTTTTAAAGTGAATTGTAGATTCGTTTGTATTCACACAGCGAGCTGCCATTTTGTTGGGTTTTTTTTCAAATCATTAATTGCACTCCTGGAGAGTGCAACTAATAGTAATGGTAATTGAACTGAGTGGAGTTCAATTTGGTCTGAAATCAAACGCGTGATTACAAAATCGCACGACCGCAAAGCGGGAGTGCGATTTGTGATTACAAGTTTGATTTCAGACCAAAACTAAATTGCACGACACAAAGTGCAATTTCCACTTTATAAAATTCGTTTTGAAATCTTAATTTTAAACAATTTTGTAAAACAGAAACAGTTCTTTCTTCTTACAAAAGACACCCTCAAGCGAACAAGTTGAACTTTCTTTAAATCTCGAAACGTGGTACCAAAAAAATTAAGAAATTTATGGATACTGTGAAGACTAAAAACAACCAATGTAAGTTTAAACATACTATAGGTTTTATCAGCAATTTGATAGGGTTTTGATGCGCTTTGTTCATTCAAACATCAACAAATTATACAAATTACCTTGTTTAGTTTTTTTTGCCTGTCGCTTTATTAAGTTGCCTTTCGTTGGTATTTTCGCCATCTTTCACAAAAATTTTGTTCCTAATATGCCCATATTTGTTTTTATATGCAAAAAATTAGGCAATAGGGCCTACTCTGATTTGTTTATTTTGCCAAATTTGCTGGTTCATATTTTTCTTAACATTGACTGATTAAATGAATTCTATACACTTTCCTTTGATTGGATAGCTAAGGTGACCACTTCAATATGATTGGTTTAAAAAATGCTGATGCGAGCAAAGCTCAAAATAGTATGATTAAAAACCCGTTTAATAGGGCTTTATACATCCACATTAGAGTGTACGTTAAACAAGATAATTTCATAACAATGGATATTCTTTTTGAAGTAAACATTGTACTATTATTTTCTAACCTTTGGATCCTGTTGAGCCTGATTGGCTTCAGGTGCAGCGCATATCGCAGCTCCAGGATTTGCTGTATTGCACACTTGCATAAAATTGGCTGAACCATAATCTGATACTTTTGCTCTTCGCACGGCACCATTTTCAACCCATAACAATACGTTGGCACTGCTAACATCACGATGGATAATCGTGTTTGGCGTCTTTAAATGAAGGTAGTTGAGGCCACGTGCCACGTCTAAGGAAATTAATTTAACCTCCTGATACTCCAACCGTGATTCTCGTTGCTCGAGTAATAAACGCAAATTCATATCCATCAGTTCTGTTACAATTAAAAGATGACTTTGATCATTTTCTATTGCACATATAAACTGTAGTAGATTAGGATGACTACATTGCGATGCGATATTAATTTCACGTTGGAGCATTTGCAGGTTATGTGAAGATAAAATTATTTCGTAATATTCTTTTACTGCTACGTTAGTTCCATTATAGTCTCCGGCATAAACGCAACCATAAGCACCTCTTCCTAGTATATCATTTTTTGAAACTACTACTGATCCACGTTCTGTAATGCAGTTAGTTTTCAGACCATTGTTCTCTTCCCGAAGTCTCTGAATTTCGCTCTGCAAATTGTTATTTTCTTCTCGAACTTCCTGTATTTCGCTATTTATGTTGATATTATCTTGTCGAAGTTGCTGAACTTCGTTGTTCTTGTTGATATTTTCCTGTCGAAGTTCCAGAATTTCATTATCGTTTTTGGTGTTTAGCTGTTGAAGTTGCAGAATTTCGCTGTTTTTCTTGTTGTTGTCCTGTCGAAGTTGTTGAATTTCGTTGTCCTTGTTGACGTTTTCTTGTCGACGTTGCTGAAGTTCGTTTTCCTTGTTGATATTTTCCTGTCGGTGTTGCTGAAGTTCGTTCTCTTTGTTTATATTTTCCTGTTGAAGTTCCAGGATTTCGTTATCGTTTTTGGTGTTTAGCTGTTGAAGTTGCAGAATTTCGTTGTTTCTCTTATTGTTGTCCTGTCGAAGTTCCAGAATTTCGTTGTCCTTGTTGGTGTTTTCTTCTCGAAGTTGCTGAATTTCGTTCTTGTTCATGGTTTTTTCTTGAAGTTGAATTTCTTTAATTTGAATTTCATTGTGTAAGTGACTGCTTTCTTGTCGAAGTTGCTGCGTTTCGTCGAATAACCCTAGTTCATGGCGCTGAAAATCCGCTGTCGGCGTTCTGTCTGTGTTTTGAGTGCCCATGATAGCTTCTCGAAGAGTCAGAATAATTGCATCTTTCTTAATGTTCTCTTGCTTTCTATCATCACTTTCTTTTTCAAGGAGTTGCATTTTTTATTCAGATCTATATTCTCGTCTTCAAGGCTCTTTGTAACTTTTTTCAGATTATTATTCTCTTCCGTTATCTGACAAAGCAAATCACTCTCGTTCTTTAATTCGTGTTTTATATGGTCTTCTGTGATGTGAAAAGAGGAGAAAACACATAAATTTGTTGCAGATTCAATTTGCCATCATATATGGGAAAAGTTGAAGAGAAGGAGGTAATAGCAAGCTTGATATTATACTTTATATTGGTAAGCGGCCACCTTCACGGATGGACTTTGTCATAGGCGTCGAAAGAACGATAAGTGCATGGGGGACCATATTCATATATTCGTGTTCTGCATGATTAATTTCTTTTGAAATCGATTGTTTTTAAGGTCTGTGAACACGAATATATGAATGTGGTCCCCCCCTCCCACATACACTTATCGATCTTTCGACGCCTATGGGCTTCGTGGTCGCTTAGTGCCCATATCATTTGTGGGACCTTTATGGATATGAAAATAGCGTCAAATTTATTTAATAACTTTAAATGCTTTTTTTTATTTAGTGGAATAATTTCGACGATGGAGGCTTCTCAGGCTTCTAAACTGCCTACAGTTCCTGAGTCCCAGGCTCCTATGCACAATGGACAGTTTCGAAAAAGGCCAAATATTCGATAGCCGTGTTTAGACCTCAGGAGGCTGTGACTCAGGAACAGTCCGTTGTTTAAAGGCCTATATCCTCAAAACTATTGCACAAAATAAAAAAAGCTTTAGAACTTATCGACGAAATTTTTAATCTCTTTTCAAATCCATAAAAGTCCCACAAGTGATATAATCACTTTAATGGACGTGCCTTTATGACAATTGTATTCGGAGCGTTGATCTTACCAACAAAAGATTAAAATTTAAAATTGTAGTAATAAAATTTCCATTTCCGCTAAGTCCCCAGACGTTTGGGGAATATTCAATTCGGGTCTAAGTAAGAGAAGTTCGTCTAATCCACTATTTGTCGCATTTGTCGGTCCTTTCCGTTTGACCCACTAGGGCTGTCACCAGGATATTTTTCACCAGGGGGCAGTATAAGACATATATATATATATATATATATATATATATATATATATATATATATATATATATATATATATATATATAATAACAGCTTAAGTTGGATTTTCCACGAGGGAGGAGGGGCAGTTGCCCCTGCAGGTCCCTCTCCGGTTCTGTACGGCTCTGTGACCTATACATAATATATTCTCCACGTCAAAAATTTAGCTTGCCTACATCTGTGTCATTAATTAAAGTTGAAATAGCCGAATATTTTGCATAAAATAATTCCCATATTTACCGTCCACTATTTCAATACTATTGATCCCTTGTTCGCCTTTCTTATCTGCATCTTTAGCCAACTTTGGTGTCTACAAAGCAATGCATGCAGGTCTACTTTAATTTAATTTAATTTAAAAGATATAATTTTCCCCTCAAAACGAATTGTCTCAATCTTGCGAAATATGATGGATTACAGCCTGCGAACAGGCTCTCAAGGTGAAATAACACTGCACGAAAAATTAGATTTACCACTATAGGAAACACAGAGTAAACTTGAGATAACGCCGCATTTGCTCACATTTACGAGCAAATATACGGCTTATCTACAAGTTTACTCTGTGTTTCCTATAGTGGTAAATCCAATTTTTCGTGTAATGTGAGAGCCTGCATCGATGACTAATGAATCTGAGTATCTGCCCCGTAACGTTCGTTTTTCCAAATATGGAATGTTATCCTTATATGGTGTTGTTTACAACTTTCGTGCAAACTAAATTTAGACCGTGCAAACTAAATTTAGACCGTACAGTTTATTTTGTTTTTCGAAATATAAGATATTCAAGCAAAAGTTTAAATGTTTTAAATACTGTTTTCTCAAAACAGAACATTTCGTGCTTTGAGATAAGATGGCCAAGCTAGACCCATTTGATCAGTTAATGTTTTTTTTATGCATAGTGCTTCAGCAGTTGACTTATGTAGAGCTCAGCGGAAACATATAAATTATAGCATCTGACCAATGAGAATTTCGCGTCACGATTTGAGACGCAGATATTCAAATTCAGTAGTCATCGATGGAGGCTCTCATTTCACCTTGAGAGCCTGTTCGCAGGCTAGACGGTTTATGACTACGTTGACATAAAAAAACAGTGGACACGGACAGCAAAAGTCCTATAAGTATGTGCGACATTTTAATTATTCAGTTTTACCTGCTATCCTACATGCTGGCATTTTTCACTAAAGTATACATAACCCCAAGAAAGATATATGTTATTTACTGGCTACGAGGTCCGGATGAGAAAAGCTGTGCCCGAGGTCTTGGAAACGGCCCGAACCCGAAGGCCCAGGGACGTTTTCAAGACCGGCCAAACGCACAGTTTTTCTCATCCGAACCGACGCTGCCGGTAAATAACGTACGTGTTTATTTTTTATCAGAAGTAAAAATTAAATTCACAAAAATTCCAGTGTTGCTTGCGAACTAATTTGAGAACATTGCAGTTGTGTATTTTTAAAGCGAGGCGGACAAAAATTAAAAAGTTGAAAGATGATTATAAAACACGCATTCGAAAAATCGAGAAAACTGGCAAGAAACACACAAAAAGACGTACAGTTTCAGTAAAAACTTACATGCCCTTTTCATGAATGTGGTAGCAGAGAAGCTTTGGAATAAAAAGTTCTAAGTCTGGCATTTTAACTTTAACAAATTCAATTGCTTCTGACAACAGGGATTATTCTAAAGAAATTTTATCATTGCACAAAAGCGAAAAAAATGATAAAATTTATATAAATTTAGAGACATTTTAGAAAACGTTCTTAAAATTTACCCCATGCATGCATGTCACTAATTATATGCAGGAAAATGAGCCAAAATCACAGCTAATGAGCCAAAATCTGCATAATCTATTTCATGCAAAAACATACAAATTTTCACATATTGTTTGAATCGCATGCAAAACACCAAGCAATATTGCACAAGATCTAGTCTTTCACACTCGTAAAATAGATTAATCTAAAAACTGTTGATTGTGTCACCAAACAGCGTCAAAAATCTCAGAACAAAATCGCTCGGAGCACTTTAACCATAGGGCCTACGAAGATGACATAAAAGTGATTTTCTTGAACACGACTTGGCCGCTAGGAGAGATACCGGATTGGAATAAATATGCCACAGAAAAATTAGTAAACGAATGCTTTATCGATCATGAGGTCGGCAAATAGTAGCCGCGCTCTCAGACTGCAATAATTTAGAAGTTAAATGTTTTCATCTTGTCATATATTGCAAGTAATAACTGAAAGCCATTGTATGTAGATTATATCCAATTTGCTATACAAGCAGTGGCCATTTTGTCGCAAATTTCTAATACTGAACAATATCGCATTTTATCACCGCACAAAAACTAATTTATCACAGCACAAATACCGTTTATCACTGCACAAATTGGTTACCTGTCTGACAACAACAGGTTCATGTTCAGTTCCGATCAACAACATATACAAATGAATCTGTTTTGATTTAATCAGCGTTTTTTTCTATTAAAAGGACAACGAAAAAGGTATATAATGCTATTTTTATATTTTGTATTTTTCTGGTCGCTTCACTGTATATTTCACATAATATGCTTGAAACCAGTGTTTACATCAGTGAAAAATGCATTACATCAATGAATGGATAGAGAATATATTCGTGACTCTTTTCACGGCTGTAGATTAAACCTTTTACTGAAATGGGAAAACATTCATTTTACAATATGTGTTTAAGCGGTAATTTTTTCGCTTTTAAGTGGGCGAATACATGAGCATAAAAAACATAGTTTTCCCGACGTTCATTTTATACATGTCAAATAATTTTACGTTTTTGCGCAGATTTTTTCGCTCAAAAATTGTTAAAGGCGGATATGTGTTCGATCCACTAGGAAGTCATTGTGAACATTTGTTGATTTTGAAAGTACCTCAACATTCCAGTCCACATAGAACATAGTTTGAGGATTTTCTTTTCCCTTTCTCCTTCTTAACTATAAAAGTTGAAAGATTTGTAACAAAAAGTTCCATCAGATGATCTACTTTCGGGAGCAGTCATTATTAATGTCGGGCGAGGGGAGGTGGCGAAAGATTGATATTTGGAGGGGCCACGAAACATTTATGAACTACCAAGGGGGAGTTATCAAAAAGATAGGGGCATGAAGGGGGAGGGGGCTACGAAAAATAATTGTAAAACATTACCAGCTCCCTGCAATATTTATCATTTATAGACCCGGAGCGATGGGGATTCGGCGTAATATTTCCCGAAGTGATGATATATTCCGAGGGGCTTTGCCCCGAGGAAAATATCATCACTGAGGGAAATATCGCCGAATTCCCGAGCGGAGGGTCTATAAATGATAAATATTGCAGGGAGCTGGTAAAGAACACACTAAGAGTCTAAGTTCAGAATAAACTTTAAAACTTGCTGATTATTAACTAATTGTATTAATACAATTTCTAATTTCTTATGTATACCTGAGTTTTTGACGTTTCCTCTTTAAAATATTTGAGCATGTATCCTTTGGATCATTAAAGGTAACATACGTCTTGAAAATCGTTCTTTAAATCAAATCACAATTTATAGACTAAGATGGTTGGGCTAGCTGCTGACGTCACAGAATATTAGTGTCATTGTTCTCAATTTATTTGCGTCACGTGACAAGAAAACGGTATGCCGTTTCAAAACATTGTATATTTTTCTATATGAGTGGATCATATTTCCAGATAAAATGTCGTTTTCCGAAGTTAATTCAAAGCATATGTTTGTGATGGTTCGTGTTAGGTACGTTGAGATGCAAATATCATTATCTGAAACACATGAGTGTGTAAAATAAAGCCGAAGTGGAGGGGTAAAAATATCTCGCACAAATCGCATTTTTGCTTTTGGAGAACAATTCGAAGAGATCTAAAATATTACAAATTTAAAACTTCATTTAAACTTGAAACATGGATCAGTTAAGATGTTATTGTGAATGATAACAGCTGCGAACACGATGAGAATCAGATATCAATGTATTGCCACAGTCGCGACAAAGTTTACACAACGTAACAGTCTTGAGAAGTACTTTATTGAGTGTATCTTTATATTTTCCATTATGTATTAATTTTCAGCAATGCCCGGTGCAAACTGCGCTTTTTCCGGCTAATTTAGCATTGGGAGAAGACGAACATTTCTTTATTTAAAATGCCAGATAACAGATCAAAAGCTTTGGTAAAATAATGTCATTTTCCAAAAAAAAAGTCAATAAGACATAATTATACATGGTAGGAAGATAATTAGAGAAATATACACTGTTGTTATTGTTTAATATATCTGTAAATATCTTAGGGATATTTACAGATACTATTTACAGGAACAGTTACTTCCTATTCACGTCCTTTCTGAACGCTTTGCCTTTGATCTTTTTGCTTCTCTTTTATTTTGTACTTTAAAGTACATATGAAAAAGATCTAACCTATAAGTAGAGTTTTAACAATATCTTCCAAGCACAGTTTTGGAGTTGCAGATGAACTGTCAACCCCAGAAGACAAAACAATGTTCTCCCATAATCACTTCACAACAGGAGGGAAAAGGCCCTGGCACCGGCCGGTCACATGACTTTCAACACCCAGATATAGTGGGTGTAATAAATTATAATAATAATGATTAGAAAATCAAAGATGGCCGCCAACGTAAGAGTGTCCACAAAATTTAAGTGCTTAGAGCGGCTTAAAAATGCGTTTAGTCTTTGAAATTTTTTCTTCATTTTGCTACCGACGTACTCGAAATCAAATTCTTCAGCTTTTATTACATGGGAACTATGTAGTTGCTGTTCTTTCAACTGGGTTTGGTAAATATCGTTCGTTCGCTAAACAAAATTAACAGCCAAAATTATTATAGTATTACGACAGATGTTCTCCAGCTGGACAGGCTTGCTTAAGAGGACACGGAACGTGTTTTGAACTGGGGATGTTAAACTTGGTTTTACCCTTCCAAAGACTCTGCTGTGCGACGATTGGAGCGAGTTTATGAGGAATATTTTATACAGTGATTCAAAGAAATGTACTGTATATGTTATTGATCTATTGTTGAATGTCACTTATTCACCTATCAATGTTAACCCCCATATGTGGGGTATTTGATTATCAATTGCAACCCCACCCTGGGGATTTTGATTAGCATTTTGGCTCCAAGTTGGGGCATTTTGAACCGAATGACTTTTATTAATATAGTATTTATTGCAAAATGGTGGGGTATTTGACCAATAAATATTGCCCGACGGTGGGGCATTTGATTGAAAATTTGCTCAAAAAACCAAATTCCCCGCCTATGCCCGACCCCCCCTCTGGGGCTTAACATTGATAGGTGCATTATATTATAAAGTGTCAATGGTTGGAATATTTATTCATTGATATTTTAAACACAGATGAAGAGCTATGTGCCCTTTCCTTGTTTACGTTTTCCTTGCAGCTAAATGCTGTTGAAGCTGGCAAGTTGCAAAACTGACATATGAATGATATGACCCAAATATTGGATATGCATCTTAGTTTGCTTCCAGTAAAATGTAAACAAGACCTTAAGAATTCTATATGAGATAAGAAATATTACATTTAAAATCATGACTGGCAAATTAACATGTGCGAATTGATGTTTCCTAATAATAGTATGTACTCCAGTAAAGCTTGCTTGCTTCAATTCTTGCTTTTACCATCTGCACATTATCAGGGTGGAGAGTTGATTAGATTTGAATATTTTGTCCCAGGGCATGAAGGTAGGGAATAGATTTTCCACCACAAAAGGAGCAAGGTGCCCAACCAGTTAGAAGATGGCATGTACTTTAAGTGACCATTCATTATACCCTAGGGTGGGTGGGAGATTCTTATGTCAAAATGTCATGGGACCCCTTTTTTAATCTCTTAATTTAATAATGGAGAACCCTCCTAAATATTTAAGACTATATAACATGATGCAATTCTAATCTTCATTCATGTGAATGCCTGGCTATGAAGAAAATACATTTTGCAACTGACAGGGATATCCCCAGCAAGATCTGGTGGGGGGGGGGTGCTCTGCCAGCTCTGGTGCCGAGTCGTGTTGGTCATGTGTGCCACCTGCCCATCAACTTGCTTCACTACTGCAAAGTCTTGCTTTACTACTGTATTTGAATTGTAATTGTTGTTCACAGCTCACTCATCATGTTATTACTCAAATTACTGCATCTCATTTTGCCTCTAATAATTTTTTGCTTTAATTATCATGAAAAATAGCACCCCCTCTGGCCAGGGATAGGGGGTGCACACCCCCCAGTAAATCCATCCCTGTTGCAACATACACTATAAGAGCTAGAATGATTGCTTCCTTTGGATGATTTGTCTTAGAATTATATTGCCTCTATTACAACAATTCTTCCTATTCTGAAACCAGTTGCTATAATATTGTTTTTTACCACACTCACCCCCCCCAAAAAAAAAGACTCAACAAATCAATGCCCCCCTCCAAGGCAATTTTGCCAGCACAATAGATTTAAGTTGATGGTAACTGTTCTGAGAATATATGACTCATTGAGTGGCAGCATTCTGCCACAAGTTGACCTCGAACGAAACGCAAGCAGCAAGCGTGAGCCGACGTTTCGTTCGAGGTCGACTTGTGGCAAGTCTACATTCTGCCCTTGAGTAAAATTGTCTGGCACCAGACGGAGTAATATACTAATTAAGTAGGGCACATTGCCACTATAAAGGGTTAAACAAATTAAAAAAATGTTTGCAATGGTCTATATTCAAAAAGCTCTATTTGTAAATTTTAATTGATTTTTTTATACCTACTTATACTTATAGCTACCTTGCCCCAGTCACTTCAAGTGAATTCTATGGGAGGAGGGGGACATTGAAAATCCCTGGATTTACTTGGTAGAAGCAAGAATTGAACCATGCATTACATGTATATGGAGAGCAGTTTTAAATATTTTTTATCATGCAAATTCCTTGATAATTGTTCTTCAACGTCTTTGGCTTAGAATGCGTACACCCCCTAAAAGTGTATATTTACAGGGTCCAAAGGTGTAAATATACACTGTCCAAGGTGTTAATATAAACAAAAAACAATGTATATAATTAAATTTTATTAAATAAAATGTGGAATATTTTACAAATTGCAATTACCATCCCAAAGTGTACAATTATCAATATAATTAGGACTTAGAAGCTGTTCACATGAGTTTGACCCTGACCCAGCACCAGACAGCCCAACTCCTGTGAACAGCCCTTTATTACACATTCGAAGCATTTCTTGAGGCATCAAAGTACAAGCATGCACATGGAATTACATACGAGTATGTGACATAAGCCCACCATTGCACAACTTTGTCTGCAACAATGCAAATACAATCAAGCTGGAAATGGATTTTATCAGTATTTTGATATATATATATATATATATATATATATATATATATATATATATATATATATATATATATATATATATATATATATATATATACATTATGGCTCATGTCTAAAGACACCTGCACTTTCATATTGAAATTGTTCTAATATCATCAAAACAAAACACATCAGAAAACTGTAACATCAGCCAAATGAGCAAATCATTTTTTTGACACAATTTATGGTAAAATGAAACATGTAATAGTATCTGAAACAAAAACAAATCACATATTATTCAAAAGTTGTAAACACTGTTGCATATATGATATAACAAAATTAAATATCGTCGCATGTGGTAACTAACTATAAATTTAATAGGCCAATTTAAACTCGACTATGAAAAATATCAAAAAATAAAGGTCATGTTTCAGTTTATAAACCCAGACTTTAGTTTTATAAATATAAACATTAATACGAAGCCAATGATTCAATGAAGGCAAATTTTGCCCTAAATACTCGGTCAGAACCTCAGAGGTGTATTCTAGCACACAATTAATCTTCTCTCACAGTTTAAAACAAACAGTCATACTAACCTTCGACAAATTGTGTATAAATCTTATCGAATTTAACCATTTTGCCACAGATTTTGCCAAAAATATTTCTTAGACGGACAAAGTAAATAGTAATATTATGGACACTCCTTGCGTGAAAATGTTAATTTATCCCGAAGTTTGAATAAATTAATCCAAGATTGCATTATTTGCATAATAATGCACTTGTCATTGACCAATCAGAATACATAGAAGACCGGCCGGTGCCAGGGCCTTTTCCAGCCTTCCCAATGACAAGAAGGGAAAAGCCCTGGGAACGAGGTTGGGTAGGCTTGTGTGTCGTTTGCCGTATACAGCTTTTGTTTATCCCCAAGCCAACGGCGCCGAGCGCCGTTCCAGGCGTAACCCCGGGGGGGGGGGGTACTAATTCCGCCAGGTGATTTACACCCGGGGAAACGAAAGCATTAGCGAAGTTTAAAGTTCATCAATGATAGCGCGCTTTCGCGCGCGTGGGTCACCAACAAAGTTTCGGTGGGTGATCATCCTCACTGATCTCAAAAATATGGCGGACTGTCATGAATAGCGGACACTGATTGGTCCAATTTAAAGTTTGCATTATAACGACTGCATGACGACAGCGAAATAGCAAACATTTTTTGATTTGATGATTGATGAATGATAATTTCTTGCAAATATATTTCATTATACGCTTTGTTGTCACCATCTCCAAAGTACTCTGTATATTGCAGCGTACGTGTCTCCTCACTCCTTCCAAATATCCTCTTGATCCCTTCTGTTTCCATAGATGGCGCTGATCCTTGATAGTTCGCCTTGCACTGATTTCTATCCAGCATATCAGCTTTCTTTAAAGCATCTGTTTGTTTGTCAATCCTTTGACACCCACGGCAAACTTTTGTCACTATTTCAATGTCTAAACATTTACCAGTGTTTATCGACAAGGTTGTAACACAACCGTTTAATGAAGAATACCCGCATTGCTGCCAGGTTCCATCACACGAAACACCACACTTTATAAGTATTCAGTTACAATTAACTTCATGTAATTCATTAGCAGCATCTTCAACAGTTTTCATAGCCACAGTGTCGCAGTTTTTGACAAGGCAGCATTACTAGCATTGTATGCTTTATAATGTAATGGTGGTGGCATGTTCATGTATGAGCAAAAGCGTTTCATCGATGCATGTCCTTGTCCAATACTTCTCATAGCATAAACAAATCTTCTGTTGATGTCAAAAGAATGTTGAACCTTTTTTTGAAGTATAAAAGGTATAAACCCATCCACAATCTTTACATCGTACTCGAAGATGAGAAGCACTGCCTTTTTTCTCTCACGTGGTTCATCCTCTAAGACAAGGCATCAATTTCCACACTCTTTACAAACCATCTGAGTAAAAAGTTAACCAAGCAATTCCATGTCAATGAAACGGTACCCGGTTACATTTGGCTTACTTTGGTCCCAAATTGTGGATTTTGGGTGCCTATATATATTTCGAGCAGAAGCGGATTCGGTCGATGTCAATTGCTCAGACAGCTATGAATCCCTATCATAGTTTACCCTCTCGACTACAGGAGGTTTTTTAGCAGAATGTAAGAATTGATTGCCACGAAATTTCCGTTTTCTTGGTCTTGAACCTTGTCTTGGCATTGTAAATGTACAATTTAATAAGAATCGAAAAACAGCTATACCTAAATCCAAAAATATCCAACAGCAAATAACACAAAATTCACTTGAAAGTTTGATCACCAAAATGAGCTTCAAAACGAAGCCCACAAATTCCAACACAAATTTTCAGCGGCTTTTTCAAATAGGCAACTTGCCTACTTTCAAATAGGCATCTACTTCATGTAATATATGCAAAATAGTTACAAAATGGCGTCTGATGGTTTTTATACAGTTTTTCCGAACAAAACAGCCGTCGCTAAGGGCGTTGTTAGGGTAAAAATATGCCAAAGCCTTAGGAATTTTCTCATTTTCTTGGATTTCAAGCTTTTTTACGGAATAAAAACCCACACATATGATTAACAACAGTTTATAGTATATAAATCCGTGTATTATAAAAATTCACAAATTTCAAAATAAAAGTCAAATTTTTGGCAGTGGACCACCTTATTCAAGGAATATAACAGCATTTTTTTGTTATTTCATTTGGAAAAACTTTTAAAATTATATGTAAATCTCCTTTCCCGATGTTGCGTAACTTATAATTTCTTGAGATATCTTGACAGAAAAAATCACAAATCAGCGAGCATTCCGCAATTGTAAATTTTGGCGGATATGCATGTTACGCCCACTGAGCTATACTATATTACTGGAGGACGTGCTCGGCATGAAAAAGTGTCGCCAAAAACATGGCGGATTTTCGCG